ATTATTATTATTGTTATTATTATTATTATTATTATTATTATTATTATTATTGTTATTATTATTATTATTATTATTATTATTATTATTATTATTATTATTATGATTATTATTATTATTATTATTATTATTATTATTATTATTATTATTATTATTATTATTATTTTTATTTATAAAAGAAATGTTTTACCCGAAACCTTAAACATAAACTTAGGGGTATTTTCGAAATTCCAATTTTCTAGTTGTATTATTCTTATTTTTGTCGTCCCACCCTGATTAGAACTACCCATGTTTTTCTAACTGCAAATCTTCTTGTAGGCACCAGGATGGGATAAAATGATTAATCCCAAATTTGAGTTTTAGTGAATTTTTTAAGACTTGAAAAAATAATATTTATGGGTAGAGAAAGTAAAAAGACTAGTGTTTTGTGGATGAAAAATTACTTCTCTTTTTTGTTTTTTTGTATTGCTTACAATCATCTCTAGTACTCCATATTTATAGTGAGGAGTGCATTAATATTAAAATAATTACAAAATACTATTTGACTAACAACTCTTTGAATTCTAATTTAATACATAAGAGAATCAAAAGACAATTGCCTGGTGCTTCAAATTCACATTTATTTCAACATTCAATCCCCCACTTATTCTAACATGAATGTCCACTTCTTCCAATATTGAATTGTCACTAATTCCAATATTAAATTCACATGAAGTCCACTTATTCTAATATTGCCTCCCGTAAATTGAATTTGTTTTTGATTCCCAAACCTTCAAAATTTTCGAGAAAACGGGACTTCCAAGTGGCTTAGTGAAAATATCCGCAAGTTGTTCTTCACTTTTGCAATACTCAAGATTGAGTTCACCATCATGAACATGTTCCCTTAAGAAATGGAAACGAAGTCGAATGTGCTTTGTTCTTCCATGAAGAATTGGATCTTTCAAGATAGAAATAGCCGAGTTATTATCACAAAAAAGAATTGGAGGCCCATCTTGCTTGAAACTCAAGGTTTCGAGAATTCCTCTCAACCACATGACTTGACATCCGACGGAAGAAGTCGCGATGTACTCCGCTTCGGTTGTAGAAAGGGCAACGATTGGTTGTTTTTTCGAACTCCATGAAATTGCTCCACTTCCAAGATTAAATACATAACCGAAAGTACTTTTAGAATCATCCACACTTCCACCAAGATCACTATTTGTAAAACCAACAAGTTTAACAGAAATATTTTTTTTCATAAAAAATACCATAATCAATGGTTCATTTGACATATCAAAGAATTCTTTTTGCCGCCTCCCAATGATTCGAATATGGCTTCTCCATAGACATGTTAATCAAACTTACACTAAACATGATATCGGGACGAGTGGCTATAAGATACATCAAGTTTCCAATTAAGCTTCGAAACATGGTTGTGTTCACCAATTTTGCTTCACCTTCTTTGCTTAATTTTAAGCCCGTGATGCAAGGTGTTGACACCGGATTTTAGTTCTCCATTTTGAACTTTTTCAAAATTTCTTTTGCATATTTTTCTTGAGAAATAAAAATTCCTTCTTTTTATTGTTCCACATTAATTCCAAGAAAATGATGCAATTCACATCGATCAGTCATTTCAAACTCATTCTTCATAGAAGCATTGAATTCCGTCAACATATCAAAATCATCACCCGTGAAGATTAAATCATCAACATAAAGACTCACCACCATAAAACCGCTGTTAGAATTTCTTTTGATGTAAAGAGTGTACTCAAACGGACAACTTTCAAAACCAAATTTAATGAAAAATAATCATTAATTCGATCATACCATGCACGGGGTGATTGCTTGAAGCCATAGAGAGATTTCTTGAGTTTGTACACCTTTTCTTCCTCGTCTTTTTTAATGAATTCGCGAGGTTGCTCAAGATAATTTTATTCTTGAAGAAATCCGTTCAAGAATGTTGATTTGACATCCATTTGATACAACTTCCAACCACTTTGAGCCGCAAGAGAGATAATTAAGCGAATTGTATCATGTCTTGAAACGGGAGCAAATACCTCATTGAAGTCTTCTCCCTTCTTTTTGCTTGTATCCTTTCGCAACAAGCCTCGCCAAGATTGGTTTTTGTTTTGGACACCCATTTCACACCAATAGGAGATCTGTGTGAAGGTAAAGGTGTGAGCTCCCAAGTTTCATTTTTTTTTTCCAGTCGCCTTGACCTCTTCTTTCATCACTTGATTCCACTTTTCTTATTTTGAGGCTTCTTCAAATGAGATCGGATCCTCTCCGGCAAAGAATGCAAAGAAAACAGGATTTGTTGAATTCACCTCCTCCGTTTCATTGTAGAGTACTCTCAAACTCCTCATTTTTCTTGGGCGGGGTTATGGTGAATTTTGTGGAGACTCATTTTCACCATCATTTGGTTGCATTGATTGAGAATTGCTTCTTCGTCTCCAAGGTTCGGCCAAGTTAATGATTCTGAATTTTTTGAAAAATCATAAGAGGATTCTTCATCAAAACGAACATCCCGACTTATCACATTTTTTTTCGTTTTAGGATTGTAAAGCTTGTAAGCTTTTGACCTCTCACTATACCCAATGAAAATGCATTTTTCAATTTTATCGTCGGGCTTGGTCCTCATAGCATTTGGAATATGTGAATATGCAAGACAACCAAATGTTTTAAGATGACTAACATTTGGCTTCTTACCATACCACACCTCATTTCGAGTAGAATTTTCCAAGCTCCTCGTCGGTGATCGATTGATTAAATAAATGGCACAAGCGACCGCTTCAACCCAAAACTCCGATGGAATATTTTTTTTTTAACATACACCGAACCTTATCCATGATTGTTCAATTTTTCGCTCCCCCACGCCATTTTGTTGCGGTCTATACCGGGCCGTCAATTCATGTCTAATCCCATGGATTCGACAAAAATCTTCAAATAAAGAAGATAAATATCTCCACCATGATCACTCCTCAATTTTTTGATTTTGAAACCGGAAAATTTCTCAACTTGAATTTTAAAATCTTTGAAGCATGAAAGAGTTTCGGATTTTTCTTTCACAAAATAAGCCCAAACTTTTCTTGTAAAATCATCAGTAAATAAAGAAATACGATTACCACATAGAGAGGGAACTCGAAATAGTCCGCAAAGGTCACTATGAATGAGCTCCAATGGTGACTTTGATTTCCAATTTAACTTGGAAGGAAATGCCTCTCGGTGTTACTTCCCCAATTGGCATTCTTCACAAATTTCGTCCGTGGCTTTAATGTTTGGAATCCTTGAACAATTTCCTTGATTGATAACTCCTTCAAACTTTGGAAATTAAGATGCCCGAACCGATCATGCCACAACTTTGAAACATCCTCATTTACAGTTAAATGGGAAGAGGCTTCAAAATTATCAAGTTTGATCGAAAAATTATTATTTCCGATCATATCGATATTTGCAATGTGTTGATCCTTCTTTTTCAAAAGGCAAGTGAAGTCGTCGAAAAACATGTTGAAATCTTTCCTCATCAAGTGACCAACACTTAGCAAATTACTTGTCAAGTTATGTACATAGTAAACCTCGGACATTGTTTCAACTTTTTCGGATTTTGTTTTGAAGACAATTTCTCCAACACCTTCTAATGTGTAGGTGTATCCATCTCCAATCACTGTCCCATGGATAGCTTCGACATGATTTGAGAATATTTTTTATTCTCCGTCATGTGCTTGCTCGCACCACTATCCAAATACCAAGTATTTTCAAAGCTACCCTTAGATGCAATCAATAAAGTCTCCATATTTTCGACTTTATTTTCATGCAAATAACCAACTTCTTGCCTTTAGTCTGAATATTTTTCCCAACAATCATTGATTTTGTGTCCCGTTTTATGACAATAATGACAATCAATGTAAGTCCTTGTACCTTAATATGATCCTCGACCTCGACCTCTTCCTCTTTGAAAATTGTTCGGAAAATATTTCTCATCCTCTTTTGCCTCATCATTTGATTTGGCTTGTCCACGGTAATTGTTGTAAGAGTTTCTTCCTCCTCTTATTTGGCCACGACCTCGGGCACGTCCATGGAACGAGCCACGGCCTCCAGTGAATGTAACTTGGGATTTTAATGCTTGATCCGGAGAAGAAATTTGAGGATTTCTTTGAAAGGATCCTTGCTTCGTGTGTCTCCAATCGTCATTATAGACTCTCCAACGCCATTGATGAAAGATCTTGTGACTCTTCGATAGCCCCAACAACATGATCAAATTTCACCGGCAATCTTCGCATAATTTTGTCGACACCCTTTGGGTTTCCACGACTTCGCAATTTGTCGCAATTGATTTACAAGAGGTGATTCTTGTAAAATATTCAACAATTTTTTCGTTTTCTTTCATCTCCAATTTTTCAAATTCAGCCCTCAAATATTACAAACGAATCTTTTTTACTTCATTTTTCCCGGCATAGGTTGTTTGTAGAAGCTCCCATGCCTCCATGGAACTAGTCGCTTTGGTTAGTCTTTCATAGAAGGAAACTTCGATGGCTTGATATATCTGGAAAAGATCTTTTTGTCTTTCGGTTCTCAAAGTTTTCCTTTGGGCATTCATCAATTGATCCTCATTTTCGGGAGTCTGAACACCGTCTTCAACTACGCTCCAAATGTCTTGAGATTCATGACAAAGCTTCATTATATTACTCCAATAATCGATTTTTTTTCCATTGAAACGAGGTATAAGAGAAGTAAGGTTGGTGGATATTTTTTTTATATGGTTCTGATGCCAATTTGTAGGCACCATGATGGGATAAAATGATTAATCCCGAATTTGGATTTTAGTGATTTTGTGGATGAAAAATTACTTCTTTTTTTTTTTTTGTCTTGCTTACAATCATCTCTAGCACTCCATATTTATAGTGAGGAGTACATTAATATTCTAATAAATTACAAGATGACTCTTTAACTAACAACTCTTCTAATTCTAATTTAATACATATGAAAATCAAAACACAACGGTCTATATACATCTAGACAATGGTGCTTCAAATTCACATTTATTCCAACATTCAATCTCCCACTTATTCCAACATGAATGCCCACTTCTTCCAATATTGAATTGACACTAATTCCAATATTGAATTCACATTAAGTCCACTTATTCCAACACTTCTCACGTGTAGAAACTTCTCCCTCCACTTCTCAACTTCTCACATTAGAAACTTCTCCCTCCACTTCTCATTAGTTGCTTCTTTATCGTATAAGAGCAACTCCAATGCTAAATATCAAAATTGGATTATCAAATGCTCATTTGATATTTATGATAATATTTTAAAATACATTTAAAACTCTTCTACTCCAATCATGATAATAAAATTTTATTATCAATTGGAAGTTTTTTGATAATTTTATATGTAATTGCCACATGTCAATTTGTGAATGGTTGATTAGGTGGTTATTTTTTTAATAACTCAATCTGCATGAAGTATTTTTAGATTCAAAGAGGAGAAATATCAAAATACAAACCCATTTTAATAACCTCTTTGGAGAACAATTTTTTTAAATTTTAGGAGTCAAATGTTAATTAAGAGATTTGATAACTCATTTAATAACTCCATTGGAGTTGCACACGTCTCCTTTCACCACTCTCCTGACACAGTAACCTTTTTTTTCTACAACAATGGAGAAAAACCTAGAAGCAATCTTAGCGTAAGTATTTCTCCTAATATATCGATTAAATTCAATAATTGTGTTTCTTCATTGCTTTGCAGATACCTCATGATGAATTGGTGGAGCATTACTTGGCAAAATGTGGTTTCCACTGCTCGATTATTTTTGGGGTTTTATATCCTTGGAGAAGGAATTGAATTTTCCACTTCTTTGGGCACTTAATTTCCCGTCACTATCGATCTCTGCACTTATTTTCATTTTTTCAACCGATAAACGTTATTCTCTCTCTCTCTCTCTCTCTCTCTCTCTCTCTCTCTCTCTCTCTCTCTCTCTCTCTCTCTCTCTCTCTCTCTTCACATGAATTTACTTATGATGTACCTATATTGATCTTTCGTGGGATGCAATGCATATTTCTGAGTTGTGCCCCTTTGTACTTATGACCAATATTTTTATTTTTATTGATTAATTACATGTTTTTCAAATAACAGAAGAAATTCAAAACATATTGTTAGATAAAATGGGCCCAAATGTTTATTTGGCCCAAAATTGCTAACCCACTTTGTGCAGCCCATTCCCTTGGTGTCGGCCTATCAGATCACTTAAGGCCCAAAGCAGAGTCAATCTGGACCGGTGGTTGAGAAGTCTCGATCTCAGCCATTCATTCTCCATATAGATATCCCCACTCTCTCTAATCCTCAAACCCTAACCCTATAGCTGCACCTTCTCTCTTCTCTCTCTTCTTGACGGCCGAATCTTTCGCCGGATTCCATGCCGGTCGGAGATTCGATCGATTCTCTTGCCTTTCGTGCTGCAGCTGTATGGATATATATACATCTCTTCTTGAAGATGAAGAGTACAACGAAATCTTCTCATCTTCTACTTTCTTGTCTTAAAGGTCTGTAATATTAATGCTATTTAAACGGCCACCCAACAGTGGTACCAGAGCATCGTTCAAATAGGGCGTACGGAAATCCAATCGGATTCCGGTCAGGTATTGTACCCTAAACCCCTATGGTTGGGATATATTTTCTGTTGTGATTGGTACTGCCTTAGTTTTTAGATTCTGTGGTCTGTGAACCACTTTGTGTGATTCGTGGTTCGTGAGCCACTCTGTGTTCTGTTGTGGTTTGTGTGCCACTCTTGCTTCTGTGTGAACATTATTCTTCCTCTGCATATATATATAAACTGGTCACTTATATATATAAATATTAAAGGGTGGTATAACTTGGATTCTCGACCTCACTTGACCGGACCGCAAATGCCCTGGAATCCTGTGAGTGCATATGCACTTATCCCTATTTTGGCCTATTGTGAAAAAAATGGTCTAATATCTTGCTTTGTGCTAAAATTACTATGGCTGCCATGTGTGTCTATTCTATGGCTCATTTTGATGGTAAGGGTGATTTTTCTATTTGGAAACAGAAAATGAAAGGTGTGTTAATTCAACAAAGATGCTATGTGGCTATTGATGAATCTTATGCTGCTGAAACAAGTGCTTCTAAGAAAATAGAACTTGATGAACTTGCTTACTCTGCCATTATATTGAATCTTTCTGACTCTGTGATTAGAAAGGTAGGTATGCATGATTCTGCCAAAGATTTGTGGGAAAATTTAGACGAGCTATACACTGAAACTTCTCTGCCCTCAAAATTGTTTTTACTCGAAAAATTTTTTAGATTCAAATTGGATCTAACCAAAGATATTGATGAGAACATAGATCATTTTACCAGATTAGTTCAGGATATTAAATTGACGGGAGACAAAAGTATTGATAACTATACTCCCATTGTTTTGTTAAATGCAATCCCTGATTCTTACAACGATTTGAAATTTGCTATTAAGTATGGCAGGGATAATATTTCTCTTGACACTGTCATAAATGGTTTAAAGAGTAAAGAACTGGATTTGAGAGTTAACAAAAGCAATAATAGTTTTGGTAAGGTAAACTTTGGGAGAGGAAGGCAGCAAAACCGATTTTCAAATAAGCCTTCCTCCAGTAACCAAAATGTTTCTCAAAATAGTTCTCATCAAAACAATTTTCAAAAGAAAAAGGGCAGGGACAGGAGTAAGTCGAAAACTCGTGTTAGTAATCGTAAGTGCTATAATTGTGGTGAACCGTCATTATGCTCAGAACTGTACTAAGCCTAATAAGCACTCTAATGATCAGCATGCTAATCATGTTTCTGATAATAATCTTGGTGATTTGTTTATGGTTGGTGAACATGCTTGTGTGAATTTTGTGCTATCATCTCTTGGTGAAAATGATTGGTTTTTAGATTCTGCATTCTCACATCATATGACTCCTATGAAACATGTTTTCTCCCACTATGAATAATGAATAATTGCAATGTGACTATGGCTGATGGCACAAAACGCCAAGTTCATGGAATTGGAACTGTTTGCTTAAAGTTTGAAACTGGTTATGTGTTAACTTTGCAAAATGTGCGGCATGTTCCTAGTTTGAGTGAAAATCTGATTTTATGTGCTATCTTAGAAGATGATGGGTTTCATGGTGGTTGGGGTAATGGTTGCATGGAAATTATGAGGGGTAATCTGCTATGTTTTAAGGCCATAAGAATGCAAAATATGTATGTATGTCATTCTGAATCATCTGCTTCTGTGAATGCTGTCCAAAGTGATCACTATATTCTGTGGCATAATAGACTAGGTCACATTAGTAACAAAGGTCTCAGTATTCTGCATAACAATCACTATTTTGGCAATGACAAAGTGTGTGAGGTTACTATGTGTGACTCTTGCATCGTTGGAAAGAAAACTCGTGTTTCTTTTCAACCAACCCCTTCTCCCAATCCTTGTAAATGTTCTAAAATTCTTGAGTATGTGCATGCTGATGTGTGGGGTCCTGCTAGTGTTCCTACACATGGTGGGAATCGTGACTTTCTATCCATAATTGATGATTTCTCACGTAAGG